TGTCAAATGCTTTACTGAAATCAAGATTTTGCCAGGGTTCAGAAGCAGCCGGGCTGGCTCATTCTCAGGTCACTCAAGATTTTCAGCATGAAAAGTTAACTCCTTTTCAAAACACCTAAGTACAAAGCTCCCACCCCAAAGAATCAGCCAAGAGGAGAATTCAAACAAAAAAACCAACAACCCAAAAATACTGATTATATCATGATTGTGGAACTTCTATCTACAGTCATGAAGAGCTAGAAACTGGCCTCAACCTTCTTCAAGGTTACTCTCCCAGCTGCTGAGGCTGTAGCCCCACAGTGACAGCATGCTCACCCGGCACGCTGCCAGCGTAATGTCTAGCCACCCAATCCTAGCCTACACATAACGCGTATCATCATCTCAGATGTACAGTTATGAGTATGTACTGCTACAAAGCAAAACAAATATCAATTATGGGGGGGGAAGGAAGGGGAAAGTTTATTTTAAAATCCGAGTTAACCCATGGATCTGCTGGTGCTGCCAGTGACATGCTTATAATGAAACTCAGATGTGCCAAAATGAGATGGGGAAAACACACGGGGGTTCCAATTTTGTGTTTCCAGGAGAGATTTATCTTGCACAATCAAAATATGCAAATAACACCCCTCAGTTTCACAAAGGTGAAAAACTCATTTCCCCTCCCAGTAATCTGCTGTATAACAAATCTGGCATAATTTGAGTCTTGACATGGTCATGTTTCTCACAGGAGGCCTCATGATTAGAGGAAGGTACTTATTTGACTGACAATGAGATTAAAAAAAACGGTGTTTACTGAAAACCGTATCGCTACATCCAAATATACAAAGGAATATCTTACAGATGAATGGATTGTGTGTTAAATACTTAGCAAAAACAGACATCATATTTAATTTCTAAGTAAAAATACAAAACATTCTATTTCACTGAATGCAGTTTTAATTCTGAATCATACTTAAAAGAATTTTTTTAGAATCTTTCAAAATAATTGACAGAAATAGAATACAACAGTAAACTATATTTCTTACCATTCTTTCGTTGCAACAATTTTGGCTCCATTTTGCTCAGAAGAATACCGGTTACAAGGCAGTATCTCAAACCCACTGTCAGTTGCAAACATTCGTAAATAAATAAATACCTGCAATGAAAGAAAACAGCACTTTTCTGTTACAAGCAAAACAAAAGCAATGAGGAACTTTATATAAAATAATGGAAATCAGTGAACTGCACAAAAAAAAAACCCCACAAAAAATGGATATTGCAAGGGTATGTTGTTTGCTGAAATGCATTTCTGGTTACAAATTTTAGCTATACACATTATGTTAATCTTATTTTTTCAAAGTGATGCGTAGCAAACCTCACATGAACAACATGACTATGCAAAGAGTTTAAAAAAAAATTAAAAGTGGTTCAAATGGCACAAAATTGGCCCAACCAATTAAAATTAATAATTTCTTCTTATAGTCACTGAGTAATCGTATTCAAGAATTCTTCTTAGATCTTTAAAAACCACTGCGACCAAACAATCTACAGGATCCAATTTTATTCTTTCCAGTTTCAGAACTGATATTACAGAAAAGATACCACTTCCATGACAAATTTAGATACTGAATTCAGGGATTGCTGCATCAATTCTTTTTAGTTCAAGTGCAGTTGTATTACTCAAAAAACACTTTGGGAAAACAGAATTTGCTGCCTACTTTTTTGTACATTATTAGATTTGATGCATTTTAAAGTAAGCCAAATTCCTTTTGGTTATATCTGAAAACAATGCACTCATTCTTGAAGGAGTGGGGTTTTTTTGGGGTTTTTTGTTTTGGTTTTTTTAAAGTAAAAAAACACTATGATTTCCTTCTGACTTTGAAAGTCAACAACCTTTATGCTATACATAAAATAGATCTGGGGTGTGAGAAATGGAAGAAGAGGAATAACACTCCCACATAAAGCCCCTGTACCCAAAACAGCTGAGGTATTTTGAGGTAGCAAGGCTCCTCCCTTTTCCTTTACCTTTCTTTGTCACACAGTTTGATTTATAATAGTTGTAAGAAAAAAAAAACAACCCAACACAAACCAAGCAAACAAAAAGGGGTGGGGGGGAACCTTCCAAAGAAGGAAAGAAGTCCTCAAAAATCTTGTCTCCTTAAAGTAGGTCTTCTCTCTTCTGCTTATGACTTAAGCCAAGAGCAAAAAAGCAAATGTGTTTGCCTTTCTAAATGTCTATTAAATAAAAGGCAAAGTAAGTTAACTAAAAAAAAAAACAAACAAACAAACAAAAAAAACCCCAAACAAACAAAAGAGGGGAGCTAGCTGGATTTTATAAAACAAGGGAAGTTTCTGTCAAAAACAAATCAAACAAGTAACATAGAGCAGTGGATTACTTTCCTTTACTACTGCTACATGCCTAAGGAATTTTTACATTTTCTTAGCTTTTCAACCATCTGAAAAAGCACATTAATTACAAATACACCTACATGTTCCTTGAACAACCTTTCCTGCATTTTGTTCTTGTTAAGAAAATAGTGCCGGGCCCAGTCACCTGACGTCAAGGATTTGAAGGCTTTTTCTAAGTGCTCATCTTTCTTGAAACGTTCAATCACCTCTTTCAGTTCATCTTGCCTTCCTTTAATAGGTCGAAATCTGAAATAAAGAATAAAGCTATTCCAGTCCACTGTTATTCATTCTCAATTCTTCCTCACAGTTACTCACAGCATAGAGTCATTTTGATAGTCATTTAACTTCTAGCATAAAGACACTAACCATTACGTACTCAAATCACAGGCCCTCGTTCCTAAGGTAACAGTAGAGATAAGGTAAAGCCAAGCATACTACTTGGAACCTTGAAACACTCTATTCTGCTGAGAAGCACAGTTTATTTATAAAACAAATCTTTGATAAGATTAACCAACACAGAATAATATTTCACCATTTTCAATGCCTATCATTTGGAACTAAGCAGCTAAAGAACTAGTATAATCAAAGTGTTAGTCCTTACTTTCCTAATAAATTTACCACCGTTAAAAGTACATGTGCAAAAAAAAAAATCCAGCAAATAAACTGCATGCTGTTTAGCACCGGTATCAAGGGATCTATGCACAGTTCCCGCTTTTGTAGCTGGGTGTGTGCATGTGTGAGATTTTAAATACACTACATTTTTTAAATAGGGAGCAAAAAACTGGACAGTGCAACTGAAAAGAGTAAGAAATCTCAAAACAGAAAAAATGTGCAACGATCTTGAAGAGTGATTTGAAATAAACTTTTACCCAACCCAAAGCCTTATTATATTGACAAATCCTCTACATGGATTTATGTAGATCACAAACTTAACGTTTGCATTCATATAAAACACACCTCTTAATGACTCCACAAGAAGTATCTATAACAGTAACACACAGCATAGATATTACATCTGTGAAAGTCTTAAGTTCCGGATCTTGAAGAGTGATTTGAAATAAACTTTTACCCAACCCAAAGCCTTATTATATTGACAAATCCTCTACATGGATTTATGTAGATCACAAACTTAACGTTTGCATTCATATAAAACACACCTCTTAATGACTCCACAAGAAGTATCTATAACAGTAACACACAGCATAGATATTACATCTGTGAAAGTCTTAAGTTCCGTAAGTTAGCTATCTATAACAGTAACACACAGCATAGATACTACATCTGTGAAAGACTTAAGTTCCTTAAGTTAGCACAATCATAAGAATTTTTCCCCAAAACACTGGCTATGGGAAATAGGTAGCTGAAAATCACGCATACATAAAATATGAAAATACAACCCTGCACATGAGCAGAGAACTCTGCCTTCTTCCTAAAGCTTGAGATTGAAGAAAAACTATGCTTCATATCTTCAACAGGAAAAAACTGGTTATAGAAAAATACCTGTATGACTGCAAGAAGCAGGAGCTCCATTTCTGAGCTGCAAAACCATCAAGTGGAAGCCAAACTCAATTAGTGATTATGTCAAATCTCTATAAATTGCCTTTGACTGAGCAGATACCCTCATACGCTCCACTTTGGGGTGCTAGCAGGGTGTGTGTACTTTTAAGTGTATGACACACCCCAGGGAACTCTTCAGAAAGATAAAATTTTTCTACGGTCATGAGAAACAGTTTTTTGTAGCTCCTTTCATAACTCATACCTTTTGCTTACACAGCATACAACAAAAGTGTGAAACAAGCTAATGGCTTTGATGAAATCCATAAGACTAAGTCTCATTACTTGTTGCCTGAAGTGTGTTACCACGCTGATTTTATTTTCTCTTACTTAGCAAGTTTTTATTTGATGAGAAAAGTAAAAAAGGGGAAATAAATTCTTGGTGGAAAGAACAACTCCCTCACTGATACCCTGCTTTTTAGATTACCATATCACTTGGCTTATCCTCATCTTAGAAAGCTGAATGGTGCAAATAACTTCTTTTCAGATGACCAAGTAAGATTTGCTTCTTCTATACAACCGGTACGAAGGAAACAAAATACCTTAAGTGTTGCACATCCTAATTTTATTTCACCTTGTAAAATAGTAAGAGTTTAATAATAAATAACTAATAATGATAAGGATTCCATTTTCTTCATTAGAAGTAAAATGCTGTTATTTATGTTCCTGATACAATAAAGACACCCTAACAGCACGATCAGTTCCAGCAGCAGTGCAGGTTATCAGCATTCCCTGCTACTGTTTTCAAACATCTTCTCTATATTCTCCATCTCAAAAACTTCCTTGTAATCTAATGACTACAGAATCTTTTATATCTTTTCTAATATGGCAAAAATCATCAGCATAAACCTGTGAGCTTTCAGAGAAGACAGAGTAAGTAATTCTGAGAAGACATTAGATAAATCTTCTTCTGGCTGGGATAACATCTAACAAGATAGCAAGAGTCAGCCGAGAAGTAGATGCCCACTTAGAACTGTAGTACACACCAAAGTAGTACCAAATCAAATTCTTTATTAAAGAATATACTTATCCTATCTCCCCAAAAATTTAACTGCCTAACAAGCTGCTGAGACTTCATCAAGGAGGAAAACTCCCTTCAGACTACAGTTTACGATTTTTGTTCTGTAGTACAGCAAAGTATCCGATGACTTGCCAGTCAGACACAAGAAGAGTATCTCCCAGTTCTCCCCAAACCAAAAAGACTTCTCCCAGATTTGACAGTTGTAACTCACAGAGCTTCCTGAGACATTAAGGGAATTTGAAATGATAGCAGCTTGAACTGAACCTGACAAGGTTCAGAATAGGACTTGCTCTCATTTTCAGTTTCAATCAGAAACAGTTTTCCTAACAAGGGCTCAACTGTACTTACACTGTGAGAAGTACAAAGCAGGTCAATATGCACAAACATGAAAGGCCAACATTTTGTTTACATCTGTCATGTGCAAACATTACAGGAAGAAAAGCCACAGGATTTGCTGCTAAAATTGGTCGTCAGCTATGTCTATTCTTGTTGGGCTAAATGAACAATTGCCCCCTCCCTTACATTTTGCATTACACGTTGCAAAGCATGATTTTTTTTTTTTTTTTAGCTAAACGAACTGCAGGAGCAAAGACAGGTAGAAAAACCATCACATTCAAAATTGCATTAGCACCTAAGACAGGCAATGTTTGTGCTGACAGACATAATCATACCAGTTTATCATCTGAAGCAGCTTGGTCTAGGCTAGCTAAAGAAAGCAGTATCTCAACAAAACCACCAGTAGGGGTGAAAAAAAAAAAAAAAAGGAAGAACAGGGCAGATGCTAAGCTTAAATAGTGGCTCTCAAGACCTACAAAAAAAGAATCAACACTGCATTTTCTAGCAGCTAGAAGCACATCTTATGCCTGTAAAATGACACTAAGGTCTTTCACAACATACCATTCTCAGAGGCCGACTAGATGTCCACCTGACTAGCTGCCTTCGGTAGCTCAGAACCTGGCCCCAATCCTTTAAAAGCCACCCACATAACCTCCATGGATCACACTCTGCAGGTGTTCCTACAGACTCTTGTCCCAGGCATTCCACAATGCTGGTGGAATTCCTTTAGGTAGCTAGCAGAAACTCATGTAATATCATTCCCGAGAAGCAGAATAGTTAGTGTATGCCCAAGTCTTGAAAAAGCCAAAAAGTCGTCTGGAAACGGGAAGGGGGTGAAAAGATCATAAAAATCCCCAAACATCAGAAGGTCAGATGAATGTTACACTGTATGCCAGGCATTTGAAACCTGAAACAGTAACTGGGTTTTTCAAAGAACACAACTCTCAGCATGCAAGGGTTCAAAAATTAATACCAAGAACCTCCTGAAGCACCTCTATCAAAACGTTGTACTGATATTCTTTATGCAGTGACAAGACAGAGATTAGAGAAGATAAACAGGAATCCAAACAAGCACAAAGTGTCCACAATTACATGGAAAGATGCTGGAAACCACCATCATGATGTCCAGCATTTCACTTCACGGGTTCCCAAACCAATGAAACAGAATGACACTTTGCACTCTGAGTCTGACTTAGTGAGTTGTTCACAGCTCAACAGCACACATAAACTGCACTGAGTATATGAAGTTTATGAGCTAATCCAGAATACTACAACCCAGACAACAGCTTCAGTACTTTCACAGGTGTATCTCCAGATAGACTTTAAGAGCTACCTTCTGATTTGAGACACTGAAGAAGCCAACATGCCAAGAAAGCAGTCAGGTGCACATTAAGGATCTGAGAGTCTGCCAACAGACACTTCACTTCTCCCAGGAGTATCATGAAACAGCAGTCTATTCATTAGTCTTTCCCAGCATCACCCACCAAAAAGCCAATTGGTTTTGAAAAGCAACCTTCAATACTATTATTTTGGTGTTCCAGGGCTTCTTCATTTGCACACAACACCAAAAAAAAAAAAATCTACGCATCTGCTTGAAGAGTCTACATGATTGTTTTTGAGCACCACCATGAAGAGAGCCTGAGAAGACCCCACAGCTAAATGTATATATCGAAACTGAGCCAAATAAACTGGCTTCGGTAAAACAGAAGACTAGTTCAAAGAAGAGAAATAGAGAGATAGAAAGACCACAAAAAACTAACAGAAAAACCCCAGCCAACCCAGTCTATAAACACAGAGTCAATTCAAATCAGAATTGTTCATCCAGACTTCTGGTTTGCTCCTATGAACAGTACCTTTATTAGATTCCAGCATGGAAACTGAACAACACACTGGTGTTTGAGTCTGCTCACATGCACAGACTCCTTGAGCCACCCTACAAACAGCTTTCAGGGGTCAGGTGTCACAGAACATGGAGTCTGCTACAAAACACTCTGTTGTTAAAAGTAAGTTACGAACGAAAAACTCAGCTATCACAGTATCTTTAAAGAAACAACAATAGTCCTTCTTGCAGAACAGAAACTTTTCACACTTCCCTAGGAAACATTTGTTCTTCCCTAATTAACAAGACCCAGAAAAGCTATGGCTATTGCAATTTCAAAATCAGCTAGATGATGATCTTATCCCAGTTAAGGGCAAGCTGAAGTGATCTCAGTAAGGAAGATGCAGGAAAATGGCTTGGGGAAGCAAAGCTCTTTCTGTCTCTCAAGTTTCTCTTACCTCAGGAATACTTAAAGAATCTTGAAACTCCAAGGTATAAAGCCAAAGGTCAGTGAGA